GGGTTAGGGACAGCAGGCACCAGGCACAGCTGAGGAGCATACTGAGAGCAAGGGCGAGGTTTTCATCTCCACCCTCTTTCCTGGGCTCCCAGAGCCCTGTCGCCATGCCCTGCCCCTCGGGGAGGAGACTGCAGACATATGACCAGCCCAAGGGGGTCCGGAGAAGTGCAGGCATCGGGGCTCCCAGCTCGGCTCACGCTGATGCCCTAAGCTGGCAAAACCCATGTGCGCAGAGCTTCATGTCAGCTTTTTATTTCTTAACTTGTAAATATGTGCAGGCAACTAAGTCATATTAGATAGAGATAGAAAAAAGCAGAAAAAAATGCAACCAGGAGGAATAAAGCTTACAGAGAAGAAAACCTTCACATGACAACATCAAAACCAGATAGAGATGGTCCCAGCTTATGGTGGTTCCACTTACGGTTTTTTGGGTTTTGGTGTTTTTTAACTTTGTGATGGTGTGAAAGCAATAGGCATAATAAATTACAAGATAGTCAACATTTTACTATAAAATAGGCTCTACGTTAGATGATTTTGCACAACTGTTGACTAATGTAAATGTTCTGAGAACGTTTAAGGTAGGGTAGGCTAAGCTCTGATGTTCGAGAGGTTAGGTGTATTAAATGCATTTTCAAGTCACGATGGATTTATAGGGACATAACCCCATCATAAGTTGAGGAGCATTTGTATTCTTAATATCCTCTGTGAGATAAAAGATGCTGTATAAAAAGGGCACAGTCAGACACACAAAGAGCTCTTAGAAATTAAAAATGTGAAAACAGGCATGAAATGAAAATGCAATAGAAGGTTGGAAGATAAAGTTGAAGAAATTTCTCAAAACTTAGGGCAAAAAAAAAAACAAAAATAGGAAAATATGTTCTTTGCTTCTGCGGTTCTAATTACATGTATATTATAGCTTTTACATTTAGCCCATATGCCTTTTATGCCCTTTTTAAAAGTTGTCTGTGTTTCAGTCTGGGTATTTTCTTCTAACCTGTCTTCCAGGTCACTAATGCTTTCTTTAGCTGGGTCTGACTTATTTCTACGCCTATCTCAATTTCAGTTGTTGGGTTTTACAGCTCTAGGCTCTCTGTTTCATTATTTTGTTTGTTGTTGTTTTGTTTGTTTGTTTCAAGTTCTCTGAGAAACTCAGAAAACTTTTTCTTATTTTTTTTTTTGAGAGACAGAGGAAAAAAAATCAATTTATTGCTCCACTTATTTATGCATTCATTGGTTGATTCTTGTGTGGCCAGGGATCGAACCTACAACCTTGGCATATTGGGAAGATGTTCTAGCCAATTGAGCTACCCAGTCAGGGCCAGAGAACTTTTTTTGTCATTTATTCTCGTGAAAAAAAAAAA